AGTAAGGGAAGTTGACGATAGCAAAAGTTAAAGTCATCACGTTTGTCATATAGCTTGGTTGTTAGATTACCATTAGTGTCTTTTTCAAGTAAAATATCCAAGTATGAATTTATAATTGTTGTATTAAAAAAATATATAGGAGCATTTGGTGTCGAGATTAAATTTCCGTGACATCATCTGATGGCGATCAGGCCCTGTGACGAAATTCGAAGTCAGCATGAAGTTAAGCTGATAACATTATCAACGCGTTAGATTTAAACTTTAAAAGAAATATATAGCGAGAAATATGTTCAAATCCAATGCTACACGAAAACCAGTAGGATTGATTGATTGTATATTGTTTAACGTCCCTCTCGAGAATTTTTCACTCATATGGAAACGTCACCGTATGCCGGCGAAGGGCTTCAAATTTAGACCTATACTCGGCACTCAGGGCCATTGAGCAGTGAGGGTTCTTTATCGTGCCAACGCTTACCGTGACACGGGACCTACGTTTTTAATGTCATATCCGAAAGACCCGTGACTTTCACTTCTAGTGCCGAGCGCTTGGCGAAGGAACTGTCACTACCTTTGTTTACGTCTTAAGTATGACACGGCGCCGCGATCGAGAATCGAACCCGGGCAAGTAGGCATTTCTGATTTAAGTGTTAAATAGAAGCCTGAATCGAACAGGGGGTCAAACTGGCGTTGGATACCTTGTGTATTTACAAATAGAGGGGGGTAGAATGTTTCGATATATGGCTAATTTAGATACTTACTGATAAAACTTCAGGTGCCTGTGATTATTTATAAGGCTTCTCTCATGAACAATATAATATTTCAGCCGTCTGTCATGGGTTACCTTTTGAACATTTTGAAATATTCTCTTTAACAGCTGATCCAATTACAACCAATTTATGCAAAAAGCATTGTATGGGTGAGAAGAGTGAAAAAATTGTGAATTTCATGATCTTCGTCCCCTCCTTCCCGACATGAGAGATGGGGCAAAAAATTGTGAATTTCATGATTCCCCCTCCCCTTCCCCGGGACATAAGAGGTGGGACTAAAACCTTTTAAAGAAATGCAATCTTTAAAAATCTTCTTCACTCGTGGGCATCAGGCAGCCAAACTGGGGGCAGGATTGTAATCAGCATTGAGCCCTCTACCAAACTTGTGAAATTCATGGCCGCAAGGTCAGGGGTTCTAGTGTTAGGGTGGGACTCTATAATGATTACATAGTAAAACTGCATTAATTCTTTGATAATCTTCTCCTCTGCTCCTTGGTAATATGCTGATGATCTATGTATGTTAAGTGTATAGTTATGATGACAATGGTGCCTCTTTCAAAAATTGTTAATTTCATAATTCATACACCAACCAAATTCATTTGTTGGAAAGTTGTACTTGATACATAACACTCAGGTGACCTTTTGTTTAAAAGAACAAAGCACATCATATCTAACATTGTGTTATACCTTTGTCACTAATCTACTGGTGTTGGCATTTTCAGTCCCCATTTGTTTTTCACCTTTAACCATGAAGGACGGCATCTTTGCCTTGATACCCATCTGTTTGAGATAGTACAGGGGACCTCTCTGACCCAGTCGCAGATGTCCTCAATGTTTGTCTTCATGACATGGTTGAGAATGGTTGCATCATTGATTTTGGCGATGTAAGGACCCATCACAGAAACAAAGTAACCAGTAGTGGATGTTATGTCCATTATACCGGAAACCCGGAGTTCTTATCATACTGGGTTCATTTCTTCCACAATTTCTCCTGCATCATCTGTGGGTACATACTTCTTTGATAGCTCTTTTAGTAGTCTGATAACATCCTGAGTGACCATTTCCTTGCAATCAAATAGTCCCAAAGGATACTGTGCAAAGAACATGTACATGTATTAAAGTTATGCTTTTCTATAGAAAATATGACATAAAATACATATAATCCATCCATAAAGTCTTACCTGTTCTGTTTTTATTCCTGAGTAATTGCTGTATTTGTGTTGCAAATGCTTAGGGTAAATTGATACAAAACTGTCATTCATCTGGTAAATATTAGCAATGACTGAACTTACAACAAGGAAAGTAAGCTCATGGAAAAGAATATCCTGATCCTCACTGGAGGGTATGAAATTCACAGGATTCAGGTCTGAAATATCAATGAGCTGTGAGTCTGTGTCCACCACACAATTCACTCTGTCAAGGACTCCAATGACCTGAAACAAGTGCAAGGACAATGTTTTGTCTTAAGACGTTCTGTAAGAAGGAATGATATTTCTGTCCCAATTGTCCCCTATGAGTTGGTATTTGTTTGCCCACCTCGACTCCATTCTTCTTTGTACTTGAGTAATTCCTCATCTAAAATTGCATCCCAAGAATTCAGCTTTCTTTTAAGTGTTTCTGGATGAACACTTGCTCCAAATTTAGCAATTCTCTCAATGTCCTGAAAAATTGGCAAATCTCATATCAAATCAATGCAATGAACATGCCAAAATAACTAATATAAAGTGACTTTTTATTTAATTTATAAAAACAATACAGTACAGCAAAATTCATATTTCTATCAGATTCCAAAGATTATGGTACTCTGATATATGGTATAACAGTTTTATAAATCAATTTATATCAATGATGTACAAAATTATGCAAGTGATTGTAGAACAGAAGGATTAATATAATAAATTAAAACATAAATTTGCTTCATTGTATATTAAGTCATTCTGCTCCAAAATTATAAAATTGCATTTATTTTGCTAGTAGACACATTTTCATTAGTACACTACAATTATTACCTTAAGAGTGCATCAACACCAATCCAGACAAGTACTGAACTAAGGACATTTCTTGGGATCTTCCATGCAGGATTTGTGACACAGAATACATGACATACTGAAATGGTTTCTCACTCACTTGTAACGGGACATCTGATTCCATCGCTGATACTGTCTTTAAGACATTTGGTGCTCTTATTTTCATACTGTCCCATGTAAATTCTAAAACATTGCTGCTTGATTTATCTTGAAGAACACTACCAGAATTTCTCTTGCACAGATTTTTGCATTCATCACCTGCAAAAGATGCAAATTAAAACTGTAAACAAGTATAATCTGATCATGATTTCATATATTAATTAGAATTTTTTATCTTGATCTAATCACATGGCAGAAAGTAGTACATATGCATTATAAACATAAGTTGTATTTATTAACAGAAAAATCAAACCAAAACATGCTGAATTTCAACTTCATTAATATGAATATATACTCAAAGCCTTGATGTATCAAATTTGTTATTTCTGGTTATTCTATTTCCCAAGTGAGCAATGCAGACATGTTCACTTCTTACCTAAAACTGATAATGACCCCTCAACTAATATGTTGGGGTTAGTAGTCTTTAAAAAGTCTTTCAGTCCTCGATCCACTTCTTTTCCTCTAAAAACAATCTTGCAGATCTTTTTCTCATTCTCATCAATTATGAAACGACTTTTTCGACCACTTGGATAGTATATGCTGAGCTGAAAGTAAATTAGAATATATGTCAAAACACACAAATATTTCATGATCATATTCATAAGCTCATACTAATTCATTTTTTTACTTCTTTGATGTCAAAGCATTTTCATTTCCGGTTGACAGTTTGTAATATCTTTCTGTCCATCTCAAATAGTCTGTTTTCCTTCCATTTGATAAAAATTAGTGATATAATCATGTAATAGGTTCAAATCTTTTTACATATACCTTAAATCACAGTTGAGTTTATTTACAAATCCAGGTCTGAATTCAAATCTGAAAAAAAACAGCAACATGCACATGCAAAAATAAAAAGCAATAAAACTGGTGAACATAATATATCACATGCTAAATTTTACAACAACTAGTATCTACATGAACAATTGTATAATCAATGCAAAAAAGCAATAAAAACTAGTGAACTTAATATATTGCATACTAAATTTATACACCAACTTGTAACTACATGTTCAATTGTATAATCAATGTATAATTAATGGAAATCTAAAAATGCTGTGAATATATATAAGAGTCAACTGGTAAATTGGAAATAATCATGTTAAGTAAACATGTGTAACAATCAACAAGTTAGTAGTAACTTTAGAAACTTCATGAACAATTCTTTTTCTAAGTTAACCTCAATTGACCCATCTAATGATGTTGTATGAATGTCATCGAGTTCTTTATTTGAAATCCCAAAATCTAGAGATCGCTTAGATCCTTGTATTTTCATACTAGACGTACTACATGTAATATCTAGGAAGAAAAATCCAAAGTCAGGTGACTTGCAGTAGTAAAAGAATTTTCTAACATATTTTATTTCTAATTGACATTTACAAAATACAAGATGTGATTGTATTCCATGGCAAAACAATGCTTAGTTATTATATGATGAATTCACCACACAGTGACAATTAATATGATTAAGTACATGAAGTATGTGAGTAAAGAAAGGTGGCCAAATTTATTCATTCAAACTCATAGAATTCACACCCTCAAACTTTTTAAGCATACCTTGTTTCTCCTTTGGTGCAATAGGGATACCAGTAAATGAACTACTACTAGGTAGTTGATATGTAAGAGGCAGCTGTCAATTCAAAGTAAATATAATGTTAATATATTGTAGCTGAAGTGCAAATTAGCAGAAATAACAAGTTTAATTGCTGTGGGTTTCTGATCAAAGTACAAACATCTTTTCAATATGAGTGAAAGTTCATTCTTCATATTTTAATTAAACACCTTTTAATTTACAGGACTGAAATAGCTACTGAAATGAAAATATCAATCAGGTTTTTATGGAAGATCAAGTACACCAGGGATATCCACATAATGACTTATGTTGTCATGTATGTCAAAATGTGTGTGTTTTTGTTTATGTTCAGTACTTGTTTATAGCATAAAAAACAATAGACATGCATTATTTCTTAATCCGAAATACCTTAGATTCGAACCCCTTTCTTACACTATCACAGAGGAATTTCGGATTAATTATTTTTTTTTTCTCTATCTATATACACTGTAAATATAATATGATATCGTGATCTATTATTACCTCTGTTTTATGCAAATCTGTTCTATTTGTCAAATCTGAGAATGGTGATATTTGCACGAGCTTGCGGTAGGATACGTCGAAAGTCTGTATTTTTGAAGATGGCAAGGCTGGGCTCCTAAGCATCCGTTTAGTTATGGACTTTCTCCGAGGGGAAAGCAGCTGTAACGTGAGTGTTTGTATTGTTCTCTGTGCCACCTCGCGAAACCTCTGTTTTATTTGCTCATTTTTGGATTCGGTTTTCATTATAGATTCAACTGATCGATAACACTTTTTACACACACCTGCATTTGTCGTGACATCTGCAATGTCTGTCAGGCCTGTTAGTTGTTTTATGCTATCTTTTCTTTCGGTGTTTAGTCTTAGCTTCGTCTCGAAAAACTTGTGAACTTTTTCCTCACCATTTTCCTTTCTTTCAATCTGTATAAACGAAAATCCGCAGAGGATACAAGTGTCCGATAAGACACATGTCTTCCGAGGTGTGGAAGTCGCCATGTTTACGTTTATCGGAATACATCGGGCATGTCATCTATACTAACAGAAATGACAAAACTTCCGAAATTCCAGACATTGCAAAATAAGTCGCGATTTGATTGGTCAATTAAAAGTTCACCAGAACATGACCTTTAATTGGGAGTTATCAGATTCTCTATGCGATAGCTTTTATCAGATTGATCAATGTTATATTTTGTAGGAAGTAGTCTTCACATAAAATGTGTAATAGAATCAATTACGTCCCAACAGGAAAAAAACATGGAGGGACCATGTGGGATGTGATTACTAAGTTAGGAGCAGGTACAATATATATTTCTCTATATTTATGAAGAATCTTAATTTTGTATACAATATCAAAATAGTTCTGTTTATGCCTATATTATACCTTTATATTGTGCATACTCTTTTTTATGTGGACATTGGTACATGCATTTATAAATCTATTTCTATATAGCAATATTGTTTTGTGGTCTTGGGGAAACCATCATAAACAATGTGTTTGCTGCTCTGAATCTCCCATATATGTCTCCAACTACTTTAAAAAGAAGAGAAAGAGAAACAGGTCATATATTTGAAGCTGTTGCAGATGGCACTTGTGATGCTGCAATCAAAGATGAAAAAGAAAGGTATACCAGCATAATTTTTTAAAATGATTTCTAAAATTTATCAGCATAGTTTTAATATAAGGTTCTGTACAATAGATGTGAAGATCCAGAAAATTACACAGCTTCTTTTGATGCTGGGTGGCAAACTAGAGGCAGTGGAAAACATTATACTAGTGTGTCAGGTACATGCACTACTTTTGATATAACACTATCATAAGGACATATTGTTAATGTAACAACATATTTCAAGCAATACAATCAAATATGTGTAGTAATATAAAAACACATATTTCTCACAGGACATGCAAGCATGAAAGGACATAATACCGGCATGGTAATATCCTATTCTGTGCGGTGTGAAAATGTAGATCATGTGAACAGGATGAGAAAAATAATGACCACGATTGTCGAGTAAGCAAAAGCCATGGCATCAGATATGGCAATCCAAATGCTTCATGAACTGAAAGGAAAAAACTGACATGTCAAAAATTTGATTATTGACAATGATGCTAAACCTAAATCTGACTTTGATCCTTCCATCCAAAAATGTGCTGACTTTTGCCATACCAAAATTTTTTTACAGATTATATGAATTGAAGAAAAGCAAAAGGTATCAGATTCCTGGACCCAAGACTATTAAACACTTAAACAATTGCCTTGCATATGCTATGAAGTCCAATGAAAACATTCATTGTTTTGTATGTTTAGCCAATTCTAACTTTATCTCCTTGATTTCAAAATGAAAATGTGTGTAAATAAACTGAACAAAATATTGCCGTATATTGAAGCTATTTTAATATATATCCAGATTTCAGGGAAAAAAGTCATTTTAAATAATAACCAAGTTGGTCTTAATCTATAACTTATTTTCGTTTTACAAGATTCTTGTAATTTAGACAATAACAGAGGTGTTGGAGCGGAGCGTAAAACGCGTTCTGGTGAGAGATTAGGCCATTTTATGCATAAATTGGCTCTACCCATTTTATGATGTGATAGCCTAAAAATACACTAATTTACCTTAAACAGTTACATGTAGTACTAGGGCTTTCATACTTTCCAGGTTCTTTCAATTTAATAAGACCTTTCATTGGGAATAAATATTTTTGACCTTGACTTAAAAGTTTGACCTTCTTTAAAAACAATTGCCATAATAATAGGACAGTTATTAGCACTAGCTCTTTCATATTTCACAGGTGTATTTCTTCTTTGAAACCTTCCTTTGTATACTAACTATGTTGACCTCATGTCCTTGACCTGCATTGGTGATTGAGAAAATTGAACCTTTGTCATTAATTGCCTATATAAGGTATAGGAGTTTCAAGATTGATTGATTGTATATTGTTTAACGTCCGTCTTCAGAATATTTCACTGATATGGAGACGTCACCATTGCCGGTGAAGGGCTGCAATTTTAGGCCTATGCTAGGCACTCAGGGCCTTTGAGCAGGGAGGGATCTTTATCGTGCCACACCTGCTGTGACATGGGGCCTTGGTTTATACTGTATCATCCGAAGGACCGCCCCATTTAGTCGCCTTTTACGACAAGCAAGGGGGTACTGAGGGCCTATTCTAACCCGGATCCCCACGGAGTTTTATTTCGTCGAGGTGTGAAGTTTCATTCCATTTGAATAAATATAATAGAGCTAGCCAACATTTAAAGCAGCATGTTATGTTACCACGGAGCACGGTTAACCAATATTGTAACGTTAACAACAACATAGAGAGTTTGTCAAAAGAATACCAATTTTTTTTTTAAGTTCAAACACAGTTTTGAAGTGTCTTCTCCATTCAAAACACATATCCACAACACTTAACACCTAGTTTGCTAACAATTGTACAAATATAGCTTGAATATGTTGTTTTTTTCAAATTCTTTAAATCACTATGCAACTCTATCAATTCTGCAACATTGAAGCGCACATCACGTTCAGTGACGTTCCTAACTCTTTTAACAATATTTTTAACTTTAACCTGTTTCTTTACAGACAATCCATCGTCCTATTCAAACTCGCTACCACTCAAAAATTGTATTTTTAATTTAATACAAATACACAGATTATTTTTCATACAGATCCTGGATTAAAAGGATTTTTTAAGCTTGTAGAAGAAGTTTCCTGAATGTAAAGTCTTATTTTATTGCTACTTGCTGCTCCTTGACGTCCTCCTACGTCATGGTTTTTTGACTTTTTCAATCAAGTCCTCATGTATTTAGAAACTGATACCTTTTAAATGGAGCAGGATATTACATAACCTGATTTCATTTAATTAATACAACAAAACTTTATTTAAACATGTAAATTTTATTTCGTTTCAGTTCTATTTATCAGAGGTATAGCTGTTAATTAAAAAAAATACTCAATTATGGCGGTGCTCCATGACCTTATTTTTGATGTTCTAAATCCCTGGTAATTTTAATAAATATGAAGATACATTCCAATTTTTTTACTCAATTTATTTGCATCTGTTGTTAAAATATTTTTACCAAATTTGGATATAATATGACGTTAAATATAAAAGTTAGGACAAAAGTCTACGAGCTCTTTGAATGGCCCTCGTATTTTAGGTTTGTAGGCATTTTTCTCTTTTCCTTGAACATTTCCTGAAATCAGGAGATTCCGGTAATATGACATTGTGCCTTGTTCCATTATACTCTATTGTTGTATGCCATTTTTTTTAAATCACGAATTTCTGTACAACCGAGGCAGGCGAGATGGTTCAATCTATGTGGTCCAAGTTTTCTGCAGCTGCTTGCGATGAAATGAAAAAAAAGTATCTACCAGAGAATATTTTGAAAAATTGGTACGGTGTGCATACTTTATGATAAGGTAAAGATTGGCACTTAGTATAAACTTTGAAGAACTTGTTCGATTCATTGCAGACCTTGGTGTTGAAGAACTGTCCTCTTATCTTGATAAAAGTCCATCAGTAACTTATTTGTCATCTACTTCAGTTACCGATATTATAGAAGCCATAAGCATACCTATTGAGGAAGAACTTTTATCCTCTCTGAGAAATGCTGAAAAGAGAAGTTCTTTGCCTTATTGGCAGATGAGAGTACAGATGAGGCCAATAGGGAACAATTTTCAATCATGTACATGTGGTTACACAATAACGAGGTGAAAGAGCACTACATGCGACTGATACATGTGAAAAAACAGATGCTTTAAGCTTGCTGACAGCCATTGAGCAGTTCTGCATGGCCAAAAATGTTGATCTCACAAATGTTAGGTTTCTTGGTTTTGAGGGAACAAATACAATGAGTGGGGAAGTGACAGGTAATTATAGACTATGAAAATATCTGGTTACATTTTATAAATTTGTGTAAGATAATTAATATGATGACTGAATAATATTATAGAGGAAATAGATTAAATTATCATTTATTCATAAGTTTAATAGTATAAATTTTACTGGTTCTTGATAACAGTAAATATTTTCATTTGAATAAGAATAGGAATCAATAGACAGCGATTATTTTCTCTTGTAAATTATCATAAAATAAAATTCCAACCCCAAATTACTTTTGAGTTTCAATGTTACATTAAAATTATATGATTTTCTTAGGTTTACAGAGAAGAATCAGACACCTGTCACCCCATTGTATCTACATAAACTGCAGGAACCATAGACTCGCCTTGTGTTTGAAACACCTAATGAAAGAATATCCTTTGTTGATTGAAGTTGACAGCATTCTATTGTCAGTATGGAAACTTTTTGAATATTCACCACAAAAGTTTTCTATGTTAAATGACATACAACAAACATATGGATTGAAACCTCTTACTTTCATCAGGGCAGCAACTACCAGATGGCTGTCACATTTAACAGCATGCACAAGGTTGAGTGATAGGTTTGTTCAAGTGTTGGATGTACTTGATGACATTTACAATGAAAAGAAGGACCATGAAATTTATGGCATTATAGAAGGACTTCTTCAGAAACCATTAGTTGCAATGATCTTGTTGCTGTGTGATGTTTTGAGGCCACTGCATATACTTAGTCAATATTTACAGGGATCTGATGTTAACTTTACATATTTGCCGTTTCATTTGAAACGGACTACTGATCAACTGCAATCACTCATTGATTCCCTAAAGAACAATGATGAAACAACAAAGTTTTCCAAAGCAGACACATTTTTCAATGAAATATAAGACAGAACAAATCTAGCCATGAGGAGAAGGGGTTTTGTGGACATAACTCCACAGCATTTCCTTGAACGTACAGGAATACCTTTCATCTACAAACTCATTGCAGAAGTTGAGGATGCCTTTGTGTGTTCTCCAGTGCTCAAAGCTTTTGGGTCATTAGATATTAGAAATCTTCCAGACTCCATTCCAGAAGCTGCTAGCACTGACTAGGGCATAGTAATTAAATTTTTGTATTTTATTTTAAA